GTGTATGAGTGTATTGCCTGCATGTATGTGAGTGCACCTGTGTCGTGCAGTGCTGCGGAGGTCAGAAGAGGGCCTCAGATTCCCCTGGAACTGGAGTTAAGGATGGTTCAGAGCCACCATGTGGGTCCTGGGAATTGAACCCAGGCCCCCTGCAAGAGCAGTCAGTGCTCTTAACTGCTGAGCCATCTCTCCAGCCCCAGAGAATTTATTTTTATTATTAGTTTTTTTTATTAACACAACGAATTTCATTATGGCATTTTCATAGTACTTTATTCTTGTTGAGTTTTCCTTTCCCACTCCCCCCATTCTCCTGCCACTCTCCATCTGGTCCCCTTATTCCCCTAACAGTCATCTCACCACTGTCAGTATTCATATCACCTGTATTATTATTATTATTATTAATTATTATATAACTCTAATCATGTCCCCCCCTTTCATGGTCTCCTTTCTAGCGTGCGCCACACACACATACACACACACACACACGCACACACACACACACACACACACAAATTAAAGGATCTGCATAAAAGGGAAAAAAATATGATACGTATTGTTCTGACTCCAGCTTATTTTGGTTAACATGATAATAATTTCCAGATCCATCCATTTTCCTGAAAATATCATAATTTTTCTTAAATATTTTATTTTTCCATTCATCCATTGGTAGGCATCTATGCTGGTTCTATTTCACTGTGGTTGTGAATAGTGCATCAGTAAACATGGATACCAAGGAGTAAGATACTTGGGCCATATGGGAGATATTTTTAGTTTGAGAAACCTCCATATTGATTTCCAGTGGCAACACCACTTTATACTCCCACCAACAATGAGTAAGAGTTCCTTTCCCCCATATCCTTGCAAGCATTTGTCTTTCATTTTCTTGATGATAGCCATTTAGACTGGGGAGGGATGGAATCTCAAAATTTGATTTCCCCGATGGCTAATGATGGTAAACATTTAAAAAAAATATGTATTGGTTACTTGTGATTCTTTTGGGAACTGCCTATTCAGTACACTTGCTCATTTATTGATTGGAACTTTGGAAGCTTTGGGTATTTAATTTTCCTACAGTTCTTTACATACTCATAATGTAGCTGGACCTATCTGGATCTTTCTTGTTCTTTAGTATTTGTTTTATGAAATTGGAACACTCCATACTTGGTGCATCATACAATGCCTGGGATGTCTGAAGAGGGCATCTGAACTGGAGTTACAGAC